TGGCATTGGGGCAGTGTTCTTGGGAGGTCTTCTGCCAAATTGCAACTCTGTCCTCTAGTTGTGTTGGTTATCTTGAGTCTTGATCGCGAGTCTTGAGACGTTTCTGACTACAGCATCGTGACAGGTACATTGGCGACTGAGTAAGTCATTGACTAAGATAAGGGAGTACGCAGTACTTATGAGGTGTGAGGTGTGAGGTGTGAGGTGTGAGGATGAGTATGAGTGTGAGTGTGAGTGGCAGAGTGCAGTGCGGGTGATTGTGCTGACTGATGCCCGTCGTGCCGTTGCGGGCGGACCGGCGAACCTGGAACGGAAAGTCGGCGACAGGGCACAACAAAATGGGCGAACAACTTTTTTTCGACTGGGCATTTCTTAGAGGGTCCACTAAAGAGAGGGGGTGAATGCCTGTCTTGGCCAATGGAAATGCGCTCAATGCTGTTATGCCACGATGGGAAAGTGCGATACGTACCTGGCTGACGAATGGGAAGGACCTGGATGGGATGTGGAACGTGCAGGGCAGGAGGGAGCAGCTGCCACCTGCACTCCCGGGTCCCGTCTGCAGATTCCCAGAGTCGTAGAGAAGGAGCCGACAAGTCACAAGCACTGCAACAGCAATAGAAGGCAGGTGTGAGGCAGTCAGCAACTGCTCGAGCAGACAACAAGAAAACCAAGGTACAACGCGATACAGTTCAATATGAATGGATAAGGTACTTTGCATCATCCCCCGCGTAATCTGCCCAGGCCTGGTCAATGTTGTCCCTCCCACTTCCATCACAACGGGCGGGCAGTTTGGGTAACGGATTCCCCGGAGAAGTACACCCCAGCCAAATATGTGTGTAACGATACCTTCTAGAGGTCGACCCCACTTGCAATATGGGCGTTACCGAAGCCTCCGGCTCGCTTCCATGTATTCGTACGAAATACGTATGCGTACCTTACCTACGGAGTACTGTGGAGGTATGTACGGATAGGTAGGCCGTCCAGGTCGGGTTTCTCAGTGTCCGGTGCATCAGCGAAGCCACAATCTAATGGACACGACGACCGGGTCTTTTCCAATTTGGCGCTTCTCTCTCCTTTTCTTTCAAGCCCAGCCCAGCCGTGAGCCTCATTCTTCTTTCGCCATTCTCTCTTTTGCATCCTACATATCTCTATTTGCACGACATATCGCCCCCAAAATACTCTCCGTCCGACAAAAAACCACCATAGGAGAGGAGGACTGCCTACACCCAAGGGTCCCGTCGCCGTCCCAAGATAGCTTCTCCCTCCCTCCACTCCCACACCAACCTTACCTTGTCCTCACCCACGGTAACGACCGACCTTTCAAGCCTTGGCCTGACCGACCGACCGACCGATCGAAACCCTCAGACCCCTTCCCGCGACCATCCCCACGCGCCTCATTGCACCAGTACCGCTACGCTACAACCTCCCCCGTAGACATTCGCTTGCTCTACAGCGTACCTTGCCGCCCACCCGTCTCGTCTCGTCCGGTCCCTATTGTTGCTTACCTTACCTTACCTCACCATCCTCGACGCTTCGTCCGAACCTCGCCAATTGCATTGCGACATCCTCAAGCCCGCCCCGCTCCAAACACTCCAGCCAGGCTCAAGTCTGTGACACGTCTGGCTCCAGCGCGCCCCGACAAGCCCAGCACACCAAGGCCCAGCAGCACAGGGGACGCTTCTGCTATTTCGAAACGCCCGTCATGGCGCGACTTGACTCTTTTACGGCCTCGTTGCCGCGCAAGTCTTTCTCCTCCTTCAAGACACTCGCTGCTGCTGCATACATCCTCACATCGCTTCCCATGGCTCTCGGTCACGAACACGGCGTCAGCCACATCCAAGAGGGCGAGACCGTCTCGCAAGAACCCATCGTAAGCGACCATCACCACCTCACCGAACCAAGAGACTGCACGCACGCAGACTAGACTGCCTTCGAGAAAAACTGCCCGACCTCATGAAACACCTCCGAGAAACACGAGAAACAAAAAGGCCAGGAATGCTAACTGACGACAATTGCAGGACACAATACTATGGATTCATATCTTCATCATGATGCTGGCCTTCGGGGTCATCTTCCCCGTCGGCATGGTCTTGGGCGTAAGTGGCGATCCTGCCCGGTCTACAAGTTTCTGAACTTCCCAAGTGTTGCTAACGATTGCCTCTCTTTAGATGACCAAGAACCGCTGGCATGTTCCGACTCAAGTCCTCGGCTCCGCCCTCGCCATTGTCGGATATTTCCTCGGCCACATGCATGGCGGAAGACAATTCGTTGCCCATAACGTCCATGCCTCCTTCGCCAACTGGCTCATGATCATCATGGCCTCCCAGGTCGGCTTGGGCATTTACCTCAGGCTGCATCTCGAGAAGGGCATCAACGGTCGTATCCGCCGCTTCATCAAGCCCGCCCACAGCATCTTGGGCAAGGCCTCGCCAGTCTTGGCTTGGACACAATTCTTGTTTGGCGGCATTACCTCGCTGGGTTTCTGCCAGGGCGACCATCTCGGCCAGTGTTTGGCGCATTTCATCATGGGTAGCGCCTTCATTGCTTACGGAATTATCTTGACCCTGCTTCTCCTCGTTGGACAGCTGTGGGTGCGACGCAGTGGCCGATCCCAGGAATTTTTTGACAGCATTGTTATTGCGGCATGGGGCTGCGTGAACACCTTCACCGAGCATCGATGGGGCACGGAGTGGGTCAGGAACGACTGGCAACATACAACCATGGGTATTATCTGGTGGTGTGCTGGTCTTGTTGGTATCTGGCTCAGCCGGGACCGCGACGGAAACCCCAAGCGCAACTTCATTCCCGGCTTCGTCATTGGTGTCACTGGATGGGCCATGTCTGCCCATCCCCAGGACCTTCCCATCAGCGCCATGACCCACAGCATGTTTGGCAAGACCTTGATGGGTGTCGGCATTACCCGTGTTATTGAGGTTGCCTTCGTTGTCAAGGACGGCGTTGGCGTCTCTGCCGATGGACGCCAAACCAACAGCTGGCAGTTCATTCCTGTCTTCGTAAGCCATTTATCACCCAAAAGCCGTTGTTTGAGCACTATCTAATGCCTTGTAGCTTTTGTACGCCTCTGGCTTCCTCTTCATGGGTGCCACTGAGGAGCAGATGGAACTTGTCGCCAACTCGGGTCTCGACCACGTGTCGTATATCCTCATCCTCTACTCCTTCGCATTCCTTCTCTTCCTTTTCACCATGATGCTCATTCACCTGTTCGACCGTAACACCAACACCGAAGGCAAGGTCAACCTGGCGAATGGCGTGCCCCTGGCCAACGGTCGCCCCGGTGAAACCCGTCAAGTGCGTGATGCCGAGGAATTCGAGCTCGAGGGCCTTATGAGCGACGACGACGATGACGAGGCCCGCAAAGGCCTGAAGGACGAAGTTGATGACGAGGGAAGCCCTAGCAGCCCTAGCACTATTGGAAAGAACAGTGACAGAGTGGCGCGGTGATGAGTGTAAAAGAGTAGTCTACATTGGCGTTGATTGAATAGATGGGAAAGGCATATCGCATTTCAGGTTCGGCGTTTGGATCCAGGTTGCAGCACATTTCATGGGCAGGAAAGCGTCTCAATAGGACAACAATCTCGATTTGTAATTTGACATCTTGAAATTTCATTTGCTCGGATCTATCACAATATACAGTTGTCCGAGTAGATGTGGCACATAGAAATACGGTAATATCTCAACGACCCGTTGTGGACATTATGTATTATGTTCTGGCTTTCTTGCCGGAAGACCGAGCGGCGTACAAGTACTGCCACAGAGCCGTGTCTTACTACCTTACTCCCTCCAGGTCTGGCTTCACCTTCATGTACACCGACCTCGGTGAGGCGTGTGGGGTTGGCGAGGGGTGACCTCACCTTAGCGGGGTAGGCCTGGACCCCGACCCTGCATCCCGCCCCGTGCCCCACTTTAAAAAATCCTAGAGCGACGCTCCATCGCATTGCATCCGCTGCCCAGTTTTGACATTCCGTCTTCGACACCGTCTCTCCTCTCCCTCTCCCTACGTCGAATTCCCAATCCTTTCGACGACACCAAAGACCACCGCCACCATGCCGTCAGTCAAGAACCCCAACGGTCCCTCCAAGAACCGCCTGGCCAACAAGGCCCTCGGCGCCAAGATTGCCCGCCGTAAGAAGTCCGAGGCGAACAAGCACAAGATCGCGAGGACGGACACCATGCGCGGCGCGAGGCCCGGTCTGATGGCCACCAGCGGTCCCAACGCGCCCATGAGCAAGAAGAAGGCCAAGAAGATGGAGAAGAAGATTGCCCATGCGATGAGGAGGAAGATGGAGGCTGAGGGAGAGGTTGTCATGCAGGGTGAGTGCTCCTCGTGCTACTATGGAAAAGACTTTGGGGCGGAATGAGACGCTTGAAGTAAGTGGCGACCGAAGCTGACTTTGATTGTTACAGATGTTGAGGAGACTGCCGAGAAGCCCGAGGAGGGAGATATGGAGACGGAGACCATTGCATAGACGTTGGGTGAAGATACGAGAGCAAGGTTGAGGGATGTGAAAGCCCGGAATGGCGTTGAGGGGCACTTCACGGGCAACAGGAGAAAAGATTCAGAAGGAGCAGTCATGGCCATGCTTCGTGAGTAAACCAGTCTACTGCATTCCTGGAAAAATCATCCAACTAACAATCTCACAAGTCTAATTAAAGTACCACCCAACAACCTAGCCCAAATACATACGAAATTTGATACCCCCCAAAATCAGCATGACCATCGTTCAAACCTGATCGCGAGAAGCCCGTTCCTGACATCCCTTACATTGACACACGACGGTCCAGGGTTCGGAAGGAGGTTGAGGAAGTGTGGAACTTGCAGGACAATCTGGCTCTGCTGACGTTCCTTGAGACCGCGAGGCCGCGAGTGGTGCCCTATGACTGGCTTCTCCGAGATCTTTCTTTGGGTAGTGTGAGCCATAATATTCAAGGAATGGTGACTTTCTGAGCCTGAGCTGTTCTCGTTCCCTGGAAGCGGGTACCTACTCAATGTTCGCCAGCGAGTCTTGTGAGGATGAGAGTAGATCACAGGCGTCCTTGGGGCTGTTTGCTTCTAGCATGAGATACGATTGACTAGGCAGCGGGCGGTATTCGGATGATGAGAGAAGGTTAGATGTATCACATGAGATTCCAGACTTTGGCGTCAAGTACGGCGATCTCATGAACAAGCTTTGGTAAATGGGGGCTTGTACATGTGGCACCCAAGCTTCTGTTCCCTGATATCCCAGCTGGTACGAAGGGTCCGGCACCACTGGAAACGAGAGATCTGAATCCGGGTTGAGGCATGCAAGGCTGGACTCGACATAGCCGTACTCTCCCACGAGACTCTCACTAGTCGAGCCAGTGCGCTCTTCAACAGCTTGCGTACTTGCTTCCTTGAGGTCAGTATCGGTATCAGTCTCCGTGTCTGCCTCCGTCTCTGTATCATCTTGCCAGGCTGTACCACCCCAGCGTCGGAAAAGCGACTTCACCTGTCCCACAGCCTTCTCGTACATCGTCTGACCAAAGAACGGATCGTTGATGCTATCCTCAACACCTTTCTTGCGACTGCCATTCGCACCCTCGGACGTGTGCACGCGGCCGATACGGTCTTGAAAGATGGCCCGGCGGAGGACGCTCGACTTGATCAGCTCCGCTGCGATTCTGCGCTCCGAGATGCGGCATTGTCGCTCGTAGTGGAGCAGGATCTGGATGGTGTCGATGCCGCGGATGAGTTCCGAAGCATCGGGGATCAGTTGGTTCTCTTCGGCCATGGCGAATCTCTCGGTATCCTGGCTGCATGGGAACGAGAGGAGGTTCTGGGCCGAGCAGCCGCTGCTTGTCGTTGAGGGCGTGCTGACGCCCGAGCCGTTAGTTTCGGTGGAGGGGATATCCAGAGATGAGTGCTTCTTTGGGAGACGATACTCGTCGCCGGCGATGAACTCCAGCCAGCGGGCGGCACTATCTCCCTGGCGAATATCAATTCCATCAGGTGTCACCGGTCCCTTGCCTTCGACATCATCGGGAGCCTGTTCTAGGCTTTCCAGACTCAGAAGCGGACGGCATGCGTACGTCTCTGCCAACTTCTTCACCCTGAGAGAATGCAAAGGGCGATCAAGCTGTTGCGGCGTCTCGGGGCGAGCGTTAGGGGAAGACTGAGACACCGGCTTGACGATGCAATAGTTTAGAACGCCGATGACCGTTGAAAAGGCATCTTGCCAGCCGTTGAGATAGCCTTGCTCAGCTGGCTTAGTAGCAGGCGACCCGCCAATTCGGAGCAACTCAATCTCTTCGTGGAAAATGTGGATGATGCTCATGAGAGATTCAGGGGCGGCATTGTATCTCTCTTCGCTGCAGCAGGTTTCGGCGAGCGCTCTGAGGGTGTAGCCTGCGACTTTGACCGGGCGTTGGCCGCCGTGGCGGATGGGCACGAAGTAGCTCGCGGGATAGAGGTCGAGATCACCGAGCGTATCTTCTGGTCTCGGGGACATGCTGGATGCGGTGCTTTGTATTTCAGATGAAAGATTCATGGGTGGGAGTGAGAATGATAATAATTTGGATGAGGTTGAGATGAGGTTGAGATGAGGAAGAAGGCGCTATCATCTAGATGGAGCGATGACGAGGCCTTTTTAACTATGACTTCGGGCACCCCCTTGGAGAGATATCGAGTTGGATCTTGGCTTCAAACAGAGGCCCGACGATAGATGGACGACGAAGCTGGAGCAGGTGATGTCTTTGTCTCGATGTCAAAGATTCTGGGATCTTCAAACATGGATATCCGTCATTATCGAGCCTTAGGCTCGGCTTGAAAGCTACCTGGGCTACTTGCTGGAAAGGTCAAAGACCATATCACAACTCAACAACTCGGATCAAGTTGCGGAAAACCTAAAGCGTTCCTCCATGGGTTTGGACTACAACGGGCTTTGAGGAAACCAACGGTTAACACGACCAAAAGAATCGCGTCTTTTCCAGGAGATTTTGAAGTCATCAATATACGCATTAGCACACACAACTAAAGCTTTGCCAGCTTCATGAAGAAGCAAAACAGAACGGAGATTAGAAAAAGGCCAAAGAAGGCATCATCGGGGCACTATGAACGAATGTATGTGGCCGCAGACCATTCGTCAAAGGAACTAGGATCCTCACCCCAGGGTCCAACACCGGGCCCTTTGAAGAGAGAACCTCCTTTCCAGACCCAGGCGACATTCTCAATCTTTTGCAGCACCCTGATGTCTTCCACCGGGTTCTCCAACAGACCAAGAACATCTGCCTCATAACCAGCCTTGAGCTGTCCTGTCTTCGGCGCTTGTCCACCCACGCTGAGCGGTCCATTCGCGGTCGCCGCTTTGATAGCCTCCAGATTGCTCATTCCTGCCTTCACGGCCGCCTCCAACTCCATTGCCATGTTGAACCCGGGTCCGGTGTCTGTACCTAGGGCAATCGGAATACCAGCCTCGATGGCCATCTTGTATGCCGCCAAGTGATTCGTGGCACACAGCTTCACCTTCTCCCAAGCTGTAGGTGGGATCCCCTTCCCTCCGGTGCCGAGCAGCAAGTCCATGACGAGACGTGTGGCAATGTATATGATGCCCTTCTCCTTGATGAGATCGATGCACTCGCGGTCGGCAAATGAGACATGCTCCAACGTCGTGACGCCAGCCTTGATGGCAGCCATGATGCCGGGCTTGCCATGGACATGCGCCGCGACCACGCGATTTTGTCTGTTTGCCTCTTCCACGATCGTCTCGAGTTCCGCAGGACTAAACTGCGCGTAGAGCGGATTATCGTCACGAGACATCACGCCGCCAGATGCCATGACCTTGATGCACTTTGCCCCTCGCCGAATTTGCAATCGGACGGCGCGGCGACACTCATCAACGCCGTCCACGATCATGCTCGTTGCAGTGCCAAAGTGTCCTGCAGTGACTTGCGACACGCCTAAGTTCAACAGCACATCTCCAGCCGGGAGAGAGAAGATGTCACCGTGGCCAGCCAGCTGGCTGATACACGCGCCGGAGCTGTAGACGTTGGGTCCCACAATGGATCCATCTTCGATGGCGCGGGAGATCTCGCAGCCCATGCCAGCCACATCGCGGAGGGACGTGTATCCTCGCTGCAGGGCCAGCCAGCACATGCGCGTGAGACGGGCGCCGGATGCCGCGGGGTGCTCTGTGATAAAGACCTGGTAGGGATCGCCATTGGATCCTGCGTCGGGAGACTCTCCCCCAAAGTGAGCGTGACAGTCCCAGAGACCGGGCATCAGGTATGGGGTGGAGTAGGACTTGTGAGGAGAGCCGGTGTACTCTTTAGGGATTGTCGACTGCGGGCCGACCCAGGCGATGAGCTTTGATGATATGACGAGAGCGGCATCTTTGATGGGTTCGCCGTCGCCGGGGATGAGAAGGGAGGTGGTGATGATGGTGAGAGTTGTTTTCTTGAAGATGCTAACGGGCAGTTCGGAGTCCGTGCCGGTGTAAATTGGCCTGAAAGAGCCACCCAGAGACGCAGAGTAGATCTTGGCTGGTCGTTCGATGAGACGCCGAGTCATATTGGCTGGCTTATCGCGCTCTGGCAAGTTTCAAGTGAGCTTTAAGCAATCGACGCCTTTAGCCTCAGTCGCAATATGAGATCAAACCTGTCTTTTATGAGGCGACTGGTGATGTTTCGCGGCGTAGGAGGACCATGAGTGTTCCAGCGGACCCGAGTACCTAATTAGGAAGGTCTTCTCGTCGTCTTACTTTGCCGTCTTTGACCAATCCTCATTAAGAATGAGAGGTTCCCAGGATTGGCCGTATATCCGGGATCAATAGCAAGTGGCTGTGAGCAGCTGGTGTTGCGATTCAGAGAGATAGATTGTCATGATATCCTACTCGACGTCCATTGAGAAAGGCGATTTTGATCGGTTGAGATTGGTACAGGTCAGATTGAGATGAGTCGACAGTCATTACGCTCATCCCCATTCAGCTATCTTAAGATACGGAAGTTTACTTCGAGCTGCTTTGCAGAACCTTGGAAGCCACCTGCTGACACAGATCCGTGATACTCTGGTTCTTGAGAATCTCGAATACAGGCACCTCAACAAGGAGCTGTTTCATGAACCAATACCGAACCTCAACCGCAATCAAGGAATCAACACCAACAACGTACGCCGGTTTCCCGACGTCAAGCGTCTCAATCGGCACAGACAGCGACTTGGCCAGCTTTTGTACGAGACCCTGTGTTACGATCTCGCTGGCCGTCGACAAGTCAGGCGCCGCTTTCACCAAAGCCAGCCGGTTGACGTCGTCGCTTCCATCACCATTGCCTCCACCGGCCCCACGGCTATTGCCACTAGCCTCGGTCTCGCCCATACGGAGAAGATTGCTGAACATGGGCTTCTGCATCCAATCCAAGAGCCCTTGTTGTGTCATGCGCGCCAGGTCCGCCGCGCTGTCCACCATATTGACGATCTGAGCTGCGCCAGGCTTTGCGCAGTCGTAGCTTGGGTCGCAGAGCAAATCAAGCAACTCCATCAGCTGCGCCTGTGTGAGATTGTCATGACCGGCGCGGAGGCTCTGCGTCACGGACTCATAGTTGACATTGGCCCAACCGGCCTCAGCGACGAGCACCAAGTCGACCGAGACGCCCTTGAGGCCTTGTGCCACTCGATGACGCGCGAGAGCATCCTCGAATGCGTTTCCAGCTGCATAGTTGCTCTGTCCACGATTGCCCATGATGCCACAGAATGACGAGAGCAAGACGAAGAAGTCCATGTCATCGGGCAGGAGCTGGTGCAAATTCCATGATCCAGCGCGCTTAGGACCGAGAGTCTCATGGAACATCGAATGAGACATCTTGGCAAGCATGTCATCGCGGAGTACCATGGCGGCCTGTATGCAGCCCTTGATCGGTGGAAGCTCTCGTGATGCCTTCAGGAGGGTATCCTCGACCGCTCCCCGGTCGACAACGTTACACGTCGGCGCGAGCACTGTGACTCCATCGGTGGCTTCGAGTTCTTGAATAAGCTTGAGAGCGTCTGGTCGTCCTGCGACACCACGTGAGGAGAGGAGAAGTAGGTTCCGGGCCCCGCGCGAGACCATCCACCGAGCAATCTCACGACCAAGTCCACCCAGGCCGCCGCTGATAACGTACGTGGCATTCGCGTCGAAGTTGTACCCGTGCTGAAGCTGCGAAGGTCGGTACTCTACTGTGTCGGTCGCGGAAGCGTAGTCGATGATGACTTTGCCTGTATTCTTCCCGCCCTGGAGGAAGCGCATTGCATCCTCGAGCTTTGAAGGTGAGAATACGTGAAGCGGCTTGGGTTCGTGTAGGTGAGGGTTCTCCTCGAACAGCCTCGTGACATCCTGCAGGATCTTCTTCATGAGAGGCTTTGCCTCTTCATGAACTACGACTAGATCAACCGCAGAGAACGTCACATTTCGATTAAATGGTCCCATCGGCAAAGTATTGTTAGCGATGATGTCCGCTTTGCCAATGTCGATGAAGCGACCGAAGGGTGCGATGCATTCCCAAGACTGACGAAGGAGCTCGCCGCCTAGTGAGTTGAGAACCACATCCACGCCTCGGCCTTCCGTGGCGTGAAGCACATCTTGGGCAAAAGTTTCATCACGGCTGTTAAAGATTTGGTCGTCCGAGAGTCCAAAGAGCTTCTTGACAAGCTCACGCTTCGTCTGACTTCCCACGGTCGCAAAGACTTTGGCACCCCGCAACTGAGCAAGTTGCACAGCTGCCTGTCCGACACCTCCAGCGGCTGCGTGGATGAGAACAGTCTCACCACGGCTGAGACGTGCAATGTGGTCGAGAGAGTACACCACTGTAGACCACACAGCCGGAATTGCGGCAGCTACTTGGAAAGACATGCCTGTAGGGAGCTTCTCTGTTTGCAGTTCAGGACAGCGCACAAATGTTCCGAAGCCTCCTCCAGTAGAGCTGCAGAACAACACCGAGTCGCCTGGGCAAAGATTACTCTCCCGCGAGACTCTAGAGACAACGCCAGCGCCGTCAAATCCAAAGCTTCGCCCAGGAATCTGCCCCAGAGCAATCATGACATCCTTGAAGTTCATGCTGGTTGCCTTGACTTCGATCTCAATGTCACCCGCCTGGAGCTCCTTGTCCGCCTCGGCGTTCTCTGCGTAGAAGATGGTATCAAGAAGCCCAGGGGTTTCAATAGTGATACTGATGTGCGGCTTCGGACCATCCCTGTTGAATGTGAACGACTTGAGCCTGTCGCCACTTTGCTTGATGGAAAGCGCTTGATCTATATGAGGTGTAGGCATAAGGCGAGGAATGCAGATCAAGCCATTGTCTACCGAGAACTCGGACTCGTTGTCGGTACCAGGGCAAGAAACGTTGTGCAATCTCTCAACAACACGCACGATACTGTCGACGGCGCTAGTGACAGCCGTAGGGGTCTCAGGCCGGTAGGACAAGTTCAAAGTCACGAAGCCTTGGTCTCCTCTCTCTGAACAGACACTCCGACCGAATCCGATGGCGACCTCGGCTGCGGGATTGGTGGCCTTTGGAGCTCCTCCATAAGTTAACCAAAGCGTGAACCTGGTATCAAGGGAAATCTTCTTGATGGCTTCGAACTCCTTTGCGGCGACGGATGATAATACTGAAGCATCGAGCTCTAACAAGCTGATGACTGCGTCATCTCCGTTCAATTTGGTATCTCCTGATGAAATGTCCACTATGCTGGATATGTCTGCCCCCCCAGGCTGAGAGCCTGAGACAAGGTGGCTTCGGAGCGACTCGGCCACAGAGGTTTGGATCGCTGAGGTAGGGTCCATGATGATCCTGTAGGGTGGCTCGACTCTGGACGGTTGGCTTAAGAGGCTCTCATTCTCCGGGCGGGTAGTTATGATGATAGAGACTCGGTGATGTGGCTTTTGTTCATGGTCGCGGAAAGCCATTTGGATTCCCGGGAAACCAGCCTCCTTGAGAACCGTGGTCCATTGCTCTTCCGTCAGAAGGGGGCCTTGGTCTTGGTACTCTTTATTGGTAGACCACCACTGTCCCTCACGTAGCCACCAGCCAGGCAACAGGCCAAAAATGAGGCCATCACGGACGTTGTCCAGGTTGACTGTTTCGCCCAGTACAAGCACACCGCCAGGCCGTAGAAGACCTCTGACATACCGAAGTGTCTGTATCAAGTCGCTTGTGGCATGCAACACATTGCCTGCAACGACGACATCATAAGTCCCTTCGGCGAACCCTTGTACGTTGGGATGCTTCTCAAGATCCAACTTCTTGAACGTCATGTGGCTTGCCGCGTAGGAGAAACGCTCGCGCGCCTTTTCGAAGAAACCAGCCGAGATGTCTGTGTAGCAGTATTCACCGAAGCGTACAGCCTCTGGAGGACCACCTTCAACCCCTTGCGCAGCCAGGTAAGGGAGAATCCGGCCGGTCGAGCTCCCGGTTCCAGCTCCGACTTCCAACAAACGAAGTTTTGGATTCGCGTGGGCTAGGACGTTGATGTACGCTCCCATCTTGCTATTATTCGTTGCAAAGATGTCAGAGTGATAAAATTCGTTGGCCAAATTGCCCTCGAATATGACCTGGAGCGCGTTTACTTCTCCTTTGAGGATGCTGTGCAGATGCTCGCCAACCTTCTTGGTAAGTCTCTGCGTAGGCTCGCCTTCGGCTTCATCCAATATATCCTCGATACGCAGGTGACTTAGGCCCCGGGACTCTAGCGTCCATGTATCCCGATTCAAGTGCACGCGCCGCATCCACTTGACATACCGAGCCAGGTGATTATCGAATTGCAGCGGCTTATCATCCTTGTCAATTTGCTCCAGAGCCGCCTCGATGAAGTGCAGAGCAATAGCATCGGCACGATCGATGAGCTCTCTCGGAGGGGCGCGGCATCGAGTATCCTCTTTGAACGCAGCCGCGAAGTAGCGACTCTTGGCATCTACAGTCAGGAGAGACAGGTCGGGTTTGTAATCGAGACCATAGAACTTCTGGCCCGAATCGCCTTGTGAAGTAGCAGCTGTGTCGGCTGACTTGAGACTTGTGATGGCTGTACCCCGCTGACCATCCAGGACGAGAACGGGCTCATTGGAATCGGCAAAGGTGACCAGTGTCCTGCACTCAGCTTCTCGGAAAGCGCGCATAGTCTCTCGAGTTGCAACTCGCAGCTGGGGGTTCCCAGGTGCCACGAACAGTTTTTGCGACACCCATAACTTTCGCAGGTGCGAGAACATCATCGTAGGGACGGCGTTCCATCCACCTTGAGATAGGGCGACCATCTGAAGGTGACAAACTGCGTCCAACGTGCTCGGATGAACCACGCACGGGTCTTCTCCAGCGTACGGCATGCTTGAAGTGTAATCTCTCGCTGACAGCATGGCTGTAGCATGACCTTCCCTATCGTAAGAAATGTTCTTCAGCAACTGGAAGTACGGTCCGTAACCGAAGCCTGATCGCTGGGACATGTTCTTGTACAATTGGCTGGGGTGCACGACCAGACGGCATTTGTCGACGTCTGCCTGAAGTTGCTCTTTGATAGACGTCTCGAAGCGGGACCGACGTGCCTCAGAAGCG